GGAATGCCCTGACCACCAAGGTACCTGCTGCGCTGAGCAGGGCCTGTAGTCAAGTGAGGCCAAACTGCAGAAAAGAATGAACGGTTCTTGGACCTAGAGGAGAAGCAGACAAGACGGAACACGATTGCATAGCCTTGTGGTTAATACTTACCTGCCAGGAAAAAAATCCTGGGTTCCTGCCATAGGAAAAACACCTTTCTTTTTACTGGTATTTGCTGATTCAAAAACAATTGGGCAAATGAGGCGCACTGGATCATAAGCAGATAAAATATTTCAGTGTAGTTTCAATTTAGGCACCTAATCACTGGGGAGAGTAGAGTTTTACATGCATTTTTGTGCTTAGCATTCTTTTTTAAATTTAAGGTGGTTCTTGCTTAATATTCCCATACTGGGAAGGGAAAGTGCCATGGCAAGGGAGAAGATCACAGATGTCTGAGGTGCCCAACTCTTTCTTGGGTGTCTAAACCTGGACTTCTAATTCTTGTTTATATATAAAGTGACCTACTATTAAATAATTTATTTTATCTATCTGCCAAAATCTCAATGAATTTCACAAAGATCTAAAAAGACTAACCAACATGCTCCTGCATTTTTAAGCAGTACCTGCAAAACACAATACATTTCTGCCCCTAACAAGAAGCCACTGCCTCCACACCTGAGTTTTGATTATGGTTTGGATAACTGCTCCTCAGCACCATGGATTAGCATTCAAATTATTACAAGGTCCACTAGGTTAACTCATATCATTGTGTCTAAGTTACACGGGCAGCAGTGAATGGATGGAGAGAGCAACTCCTTTTAACTGTTTCAGCTACAAAAGGACAGCTGCCCAGATAGCTTTTGACATTATAGTATTTTTGAAAAAAAAAAAACAAAAAACAAAAAACAAAAAACAACCAAAAAAACAACAAAACAAAAACCCAAAAACAAACAAACAAAAAAACCCCAAACAAAAAACAAACAAACAAAAAAACCAAAAATGAAAACCCTTTTTCAACATATCAGCTTAAGTGTAATCCTTCTTTCAGGTCAGTTTAACATCAAGACAACTGGCACTATGACAATTTAGTCAACTCCAGTGGTTACAGTTTTAAAACAGTGTATGAGCAGGGAATCAGAGCCTTTTCTGCACCCATCCAACTGGAGTCAGAAAATGCCACTGGGGGCGGGGGGGCAAGAGAAGAACCTCTGTTAAAAGGAAGAAGTTATGAGTGCAACCATATGGAAAAACATTTAGCTACACAATGGTATCCTCATCAGAGCAGAATGAATCAACCTATTTAACATAGCACAAAAACTGGGAAATACCTTGAAGGAACAGATTTCATGAGGGATATCATGATCACACATATGCATTTCTGAATTGATTACTGTCCAGCACATAATTAAATACAACTATTCAGCTTAATAAGAACTGACAATTCCTGAAAAGCATAATGATTCACTTAACATATTTAAACCAATTTAAGCTATGTAGTTACAGCTTTGAGATTATATTTCCCCTCAATATAACGAGAGGAATTTTCTTGAAAATCTGTACCATTTTGTCCAGCTGGGCAGTGTTTCTAACTTTACAACTTACGCAAATGAATGAACTTTAAAATTCTGTATGTGGGAGACGAAAACAAATCATATCTGGAAAAAATTATAAGTTGCCATTGTCTAGTTCCTCCAGCAGACAGCAATCCATGCTATGAACTAGTGCTGTACTGTGCTACCACCCAGTCTGAAAAAGTACTTTGAACTATATTTATAACTTGCTAGAAATTTGATTACGTTTCTTGAAACAAATCATAAGTATGCGGATGGCTAAGATGTTTGGGACAGTGGGCTTTGATTTGTGGTCTGCCAACCCTTTGTGATTAGGAAAAGGTAATTAAAAAAGTAGTATATTTGAAGTTGAAATTTACTCTTTGGTAGAGAGATGCTTCAGCTGGAAGATGTTTTGGAGTTTGCAAATAGAAAAAGATTAAAAAAAGAATTAGACTGACATTTTGATGTCAGCCTTTCAGCTGTGTGAAATTATAGCCTCTGTATATAACCTGTTTGTTATACACTGCATTTTGTGTATCAATAGTGAATATAGGTGTCTTGGTGAATATAAATCTTTACTAAAATCAGGTGCATTTCATGAGATTATAATGACTATATCAAAATGTTCAGGCCAGTTCTCTGAAATCCTGTTTCTTTTTGGACTAGAAGAAACAATTTTAAGCATCTTGGGTATCTCATACGCCTCAATTAATCAAACCAAGTACACAGCTATAAAACATTTATTACCTTACGAAAGGAACTACAAATATCAACTATTTTTTCAATAGGATAGTAGCAGTGATGATAGTGATGACAAGGACTAATCTATTAGATTATGAGCATGACACATTTATTTAAAGAAAAATATTTTACCGAGCATTCAGAAGCATTTATTAGAACACAATAAAACTCTTCCCTTGTCTACTATTCTTTATGCCTATGTTCAAAAAATAACTGCCTGTTACACACATGATTTTCACTAAACATGCTTAATTTCACCTCAGTTCTTTCTGCCTTCAGATTTTTGTTTACATCATCTGTAAATCCTATTTCCAAAACAACTTCAAATAAATAATAAAAGCTGTGTACCCTACACTAGAGATGTTTATTTCCCATCTGCTGCTCTCCCCAGGTATGTAGAAATTCTTTCGCTTTCTTTTTCAGTGTTCCAATGTTTTCTTTGGGCATTAGAAGTTTTATGTTCCATGACCATACTTATCTAGTGTGAAAATCTGTCTATTACCCTTTCCATCTTAATATATTGCGAAAACAGCGCTTAGTGGAAAAAGTAGGAAAGGTAAACCAGGGAACATCCCTAAATACCAAATAAAAGAGCCAAGCTTATAGTTCAAAAAAGCCTGAGAAGAGAGAGCATATCAAAACATTACAGACCAAGATCAAATGGGGGCTTCAGGCGAGTCTTGGGGATACCATCAAAAGCTGTTAAGACTACAAAGGGTCACACAGAGAGCATTTTAATCATTTTAGGTGATCTTTGAAGGTTACATTCTAACTGAATCCAATTGTCTTGCTTAAGAGAAAATATTTAAACTTAGTGCTTGAACAGCACTTTACATATTCAGAATATTTTAGAAACATAAAACAACTATGAAGAGCTTTTAGCCCCTCTCTTATAAATGAAGAAAGATTTGCAGGGTTTAATACTGAATGACTTGAAGATACCTATGTAGAAAGCTAAGACAATTTCAGAGTTTAAAGATGTAAAAAAGCAGACAATACCTGCCATATGTTTAGCTCTCATTTGGCTTGTGTGTGTGTGTGCAGTAACAGAATGGTAATTTTTGATAAATTCCTAATGCTCACTCACTCTTTATTAATTTTGACATTCTCCAAGAAAAAGGTATTCAAGATTTTAAAAGAACACTGGGAACATGGACAATTAGCCAATTTTAACAATAATAAAAAGTTATTTCAGCTACTACCTGTGTTATTGGGGCCTTAACAGATTTTTATTGCACAACAACCTCAAGAGCTTGCAGAATTCTTGTGCTGTTTGCTACAGTTGGAAAATAACACATAACCTTGGGTTCAAGACCCTTTGTTCAGGTCATAACACAGTATTTTATTCTATTATACTATGACACATGGCATAGTAATTCTGATAGATGGCATTGGATCCACACTTCTCAATCATATGCAAGAGCAGCATGAAAAAGAGTTCAAAGTTTTCTAATGTATTTCAGGCTCTTCCGCTTTCAGTTAACCTCTGGTATTCTACAACGCTTTATAAAAATATTTCTTTTTTATTTTACTCATCTGAGAGGGATGGGCACAGGAAAAAAGTAAAGCATGAATACAGCTTCTACAAAATAAACACAGAAAATCTTTTCCCTTATCTAGTTTCTCTCTGTTGTCACAGAGTGACATCAACCATTCAAGTGATTTCACAGTAAAGTACGATTATGCTTTCATGGTGCTTCAGGATTTTTTATGTGTATATAACAATACTTGCTTTTGATCTTTCATCATTGCTCCCCTTACAAATTCTATGTATGAGTACTTAGAAAGTCGAGAAGCAATGATCCCTTGTCAACAGTGAAAACTACCTTCTACTCAACCAGAACAAATGGTTTCTTTGAGAGAACTGGAAAAAAAAAAAAGTTTTTCAGCTAACTCTTGCCAATGCACATCAAACGAGGAGACTAATCTGGTGCTTTGTTTGATTCAGTAACTCCACTGAGACTGCCAACAGGGGTGCCAATTAGCACCAGCTGTCATGAGGATATTGGTACAGACCTGGTTTGATGTCATTGACTCACTTCACCTAGGTCACTCAGCAGCTGTCAGATAGCTGTGACTTTCATTCATGGCTGTGTTGGGCCAGGCACACCTAGAAGCAAACCACAAAGTACTCCAGTCATAAATTCCTGGAACTTTCAGCATCCTACCTATGAGCGTTACTCTGCCTCAGTGCAACACCCCTCTCAAAAAACGTATCTGAATATTCTGTAAAAAATTTTAAATTATCTTTTCATGTTTGCAAAGAAAAAAAAAATTATAACATCTATCAACTTATAAACAAAACTTGTCGTTACATTCCTAGCTTTATAAAAAATTAATTATAGCTCTGGAAAAAGCCCATATATCTATTTGAGAACTGACAGTTCAGTCTAGG